CGAGATCGCGAGGGCATCCAAGTTAGTCGACCAGGCATGGTTGCGCACGAGAGAGGCTGAGCTGAAGAAGGCTGAGGACACAGGAGACGAGATCGAGATCGCAGACGCCCTCTTTAGCGTCAGGGTCGCAGAGCTGAAGGAGGCTGAGGACACAGGAGACGAGATCGAGATCGCGAGGGCATCCAAGTTAGTCAACCAGGCATGGCTAAGCTTGTCGTCGCACAAGAGAGAGGCTTAGCTTGACAAGGCTCGAGGTACAGGAGACGAGATCGAGATCGCGAGGGCACGCGAGTCAGTGGATGAGGCAGAGCTATGCTACTTTGTGCGCAAGACGGGGGCAGAACTGGAGTAGGCTCAAGGCCCTGGAGACAAGATCAAGCTCAGGCCACCTATACATGAAGCTGACCACGGCTGACTCTCTATATCATGTATCCCCCACTTCACGTTGCATATGTGCAGCACCACCCCGTACACCCTCATCCGCCTCCTCCCCTTCCACACTGTGGCTCTTCTATCTCGTGAATCCTCTTGCGCCTCCTCGCTGAGCTGCCTCTGGTAGAGGACATCCATCTTCTCCCAGTCCGCCTCCCCTCCTCGCATCCTCGTTTTACCCAGGTTTCCATCGCCTCTGCCTGCGTCTCTGCTGAAGCCCTTCACGCTCCCCACGGGGTCTCCGTCCCTCTTTCCTCCCACCAGCCTGCACCACACCCGGTACGACTCCCTCCTTTCACACCCCCCGCCGTCGGACCCCCTTATGTCCCCCTTATGGACCCCCTTATGACCCCCTTATGTCGACTTGCGCTGCTTGTTACAGTGAGGCGACTGCTTGCCAACATTTGCCGTGATTGTTTTCCTACTCAGACATTATGCACATCGACATCATCATAGTGGGAGTGAAAGGACGCAACTTGGCCAATCCACAGACGTATTCTGCTATTCTTATCCTCCCATCACCTTGTGTATCCTTTGAGATTTTTGGTGACCATTTTCATACATTCTTTGGTATCACTTAGATCATGTTGAAGTCGGGTCTCATGCTGTTGGACGAGCCAGCGAGATCAGCGGATACAAGTGACGAAAGATTTTCATGTCAACTCCCTCTGAGGTGTTTTCTGTCTGCAGCAATCTTGACGACGATGCCAAAGAGACGGCCAACATTGCTTTCTCTGCTGTTAAAGGGGGTACGTGCAGCGAGGGAGCGAGGGGGTGCGAGGCCGGTCTAGGGAGGGGTAGGGGGTGGTACGAGGAGGGGAGAGGAGGGAGGAGGGGTGGTCCAAAAAAGAAAAGCTAATCCTACCAGCGGCTACGGGGGGAGTGTAAAACCCAAAAAAAAGAAGAAGTCTTGTTGCTGCCTTTTGTGTGCGATGGTATCTTGTGGGTATGTGTTGTTGCTGCCTTCTGTGTGAGATGGTATCTTCCGGGTATGTCTTGTTGCTGCCTTTTGTGCATTTGCTGCTGATTGGCTGAGGCGGGTGGCTTTCTACTAGGGAGAGGACCAAGGGGGCTGGGCATACAGAGCTGCAGGATCTAAGGATAGGTTGCAATCATTTCAAGATATCTGATCAAGAAATGACAAGGTTGATGTCTGATGTGGAAAAAACGGCAATGAATCCTTTGATTGTGAAGTTCAACAAGATCAATCTTGAGAACTCTTGCTTGAGTGACGTCAAGGACATCATCTTTGATAGGTACATGGAGTTATGCAAGACAGAGATCGAGGAATTCAACCGTGCCAACTTATTGTCCTCGTACTGATCTTAACTTAACTTATTGTCCTCGTACTGATTTTAACTTAACTTTTAATTATTTTGTATGGAGATGCTCTACATGTAATGATGTGTTTGAGCACCTCCACGCAAGAGAAACCATAGCATATCGCGATGGACGCTGGAAAGAGGAGCGACACTGCAAGAGATGTTGTGAAGAGGAGCTCGAGTTCTCATGCTGCTATTGTGGAATCATATACAATCTGTGTAATGGATATGATGAGGACTATTGCTCATATGGTTGCAGGTCTGCAGACGAATGGTAGTAGACAATAAGAATCCAGGGGGTATATTTTACAAACTGTGCACCTTCAATCCAAGCATATTTTTTCATCAATGTTTTGATGTTCATTCTTACAAATCTCCAATACACTCTTCGCAATCTAGCCTTCTTCTCTTGTGGCTACATCGTTCATCTTGTGTCTCGCAGCCCTTACAGTTACACCTTCCGTTGTTGTGGATGCATATAGAGCCACCTCCACACTCCTTGCATTGGCTCCTTACCCTGTTGTGCTCACATATAGAGCCTTCTCTCCGTTATCTACTCTCCTCTCCGCCAGCCTTTTCCTCTGACCTGATCTTCTCTTCTCTTTGATCTGCTCTCCTTTCACCTGCTTCCCCTCTCCTCTCCTCTCCTCTCCTCTCGTGCAAGATCTTCTTCTCTCCGGTCAGATCTGCTCCACGCAGTCTCTTCCTTTCCTTCTTTCCGTCTCTTTCCTTCTTCCCCCTTCTCCTCGCTCCTCCATCTCTCTTTACTCGTCCTCTCCCTTGTCCGCTCCTCTTGTCATTGCACTCCACTACCTCCCTCCTGTCCATTCCTCTTCTCTCCTTTCTCCCTGCTCTGCTCGTCTCTTCTCCTCCCCTGCTCTCTCCTCTCCCTTCTGTTCCCTTCGCGTTTCTGATCGCCTTTGTACTCTACTGCCCTCTCCTCTTCCATCCTTACCTCCTCTGCAAGAGGAGAAGCTCTCACCTCCTCTCTCCTCGTCTCCTCTCTTTCGCTCTCTTATCTTTTATCCTCTCTCCTCTCCCTTGTCGCTCCTTCGCTTCCTCTGACGGTTCGCTCTCTCTCTCTCTCTGCTGACAGCTGAGGCTGGGAGAGAAGCAGCTCGACAGGTAAGAGCAACGAAAGAGAAACGAGAGAAAAGAGAAAACGACAAGGGAAGGGAGAGAGAGAGGGTAAGAAAGGGGAAGATGAACAAGCCAGTAGACAACGAGAGATGTTTACAAGATGTTTAGGAGAGGGTGAGAAGGAGGGGAAGAGAAAAGAGCAGAATAACGACCAGCAGAAAGAGAGCGGGAGAGAGAGGGGGGGGGGGGGAAGAGAGAGAGAGAGAGAGAGAGAGAGAGAGAGAGAGAGAGACAGAGACAGAGACAGAGACAGAGACAGAGAGAGACAGAGAGAGACAGAGAGACAGAGAGACAGAGAGACAGAGAGAGGATAAGACGTGAGGTATGTATGAGGAGACAGACTCGAGTCGATAAAGAGAAGAGGCAAGCGAGACAGGCAAGAGAAACTCACGAGGAAGAGGAACATCGAATGACAATGCGAGATAAATAGAGGCAAGACAAATCATCAAGAGATGATGTGCAACACATCACTACATACAGATAGACGAGAAGCTGTACTGCAACAAACATCAAGAAAGTCATATCTAGAGAGAGACAATGAGAAGAAGAAAAAACTAGGAGGAGGAAGAAAAGGATCAAGAAAATTAAGGAGAGGACGACAAGAAAGAAGCAAAACCAAGATCCAACAACGACATCGGCGAAGGTCTGAGACGAGACAACAAGGGATGAGCAAGGGAAGCAGGGAGGTCTGAGATTGAGTGAGTCAACCTTGCAGTCACTCTTCTCTCGTCTCTTCTTCTCCTTCTCTCTCCTCTCCTCTCCTCTTCACTCCTCCCCGTCCCTTCCCCATGGCGGCCCCCTTGTCACCCTCTCACCCTACCCAATCTTTCTACCCCCCCACCCCCTCACCCCCTCGGGTGTATTGCTCGAATAAAGAAAAGATTGACCTCTCTTGATGGGAGGGGGGTAGAGGGTACATGAAGGAGAGGGACGAGAGGGGTAGGTGGTCTTGAGAGTGATCGGCCAGGACCCGGTAGTCTGTGTAAAGTCTCATGGTGATGTCGCGAGGGTGAGGGGGTGAGGGGGTTCACACTGATTGCCCTCAGTGACCGGGCCTGGCCCTGAAAGCTGCGGGGCTGTACAAGACATGTGCTATCCGAGTCATACGGCAGTAGATGGCTCACTAGTGCAAGCACAAGCGATGAGAGGCCTAGACCAGTCTCCTCGCATGTCTCCCTAGTCACTAGTAGATCCTGCACAGGCTCGTCCCGCTCGAGCGACACATCGGGCATGACCTAGACGTCGCTGCCTCCTTGCAGTCCCCGCACAGACACTTGTGACCGCAGGGGACCAGCGCCCATTCAGCTCTTCGATCCATGCAGACGACGCATGGCTGCCCGCGCTCTCCGACGGCATCATCGTATCGCTGCTGAAGCTTCTTCCGCAGCTCGCTGAAGCTCGGCCGCTCCTTGATCTTCTCCCGCCAGCACTCTCGCATGATGGCATACACTGCTGGAGGGCATGCAGCAGGAGCCGCTAGTCGCTCCCCGTCCACAACCTTGGGTCCTACAAGCTCATCGTCGGTGATGGCCCAGTAAGGGACTTTGCCGTAAGTCCAGACCTCCCACAGCGTCACCCCGAACGCCCACACGTCGCTCTTCTCCGAGTAGCGATGTCTCAGCAAGCTCTCCGGCGCCATCCATCGCGCCCGTCCAGCCCTCGAGCCTGCCGAGCTCTCGCTCCCTACCCGACTCACTCCGTCACCGCGCCAGCCCATGATCCATCGCCCGTAGTCGGCTACCTTGACCCTCACCCCGAGGTGATCCTGCCCTTGCAGACTCCAGACAAGCACGCTCCTCGCCGCCAGCTCCCGGTGTACAACATCGTGCAGCGACAGCTGCTCCATCCCGTCGCAGATCTGCCTCGCCACCTCCAGCTGCACCAGCTCGCCCATCGTCTCCTCCTCCTCCGCGAAGCTGTGCAAGGTCCTCTCGAGAGAGCCCTGGCAAGCGTACTCAGTCACCAGGCAGTAGTCGCCAGAGCTTGGCTCGACGGTGACGGCAAGGAGGCCAAGCAGGCTGCGGTGACGGCCCAGCTGGTGCCAGGTCTTGACCTCCTGCTCGAGAGCTTGTCTGCTGGCAGTGGCTCTGCTGCCTCGGATACGTAGGATGGCCACGTCAGCGGTGCTGGCGTGCGGCTGCCGCCAGCGAGCCTTGTAGATGAGCTTGGAGGAGCCTGAGCCGACCTGACGACTGTCGACCAGGCTGTCGTAGTCCACCGATGGCACGCTTCCCAGCTGGAGACGAGAGGATCACGTCAGTCATCGACCCTCGTTAAGACACAAACAGGACCTGAGCAACAGCGCCATGCTGGTTGTCGTCGTCAGACGCCTGCTGCTCCGCGTCTCTCTGCTGGCGCTGGCGCTTGCGCTTCTTGCTCTTGTCGCTTCTACACCTCTCACGTCGCTCGATCCCCTCCTGCGCTGGCTTGACGCTGCGTTGCAGTGCCGCTGACAGAAGCTCCCCGCTCCATAGCCGCCGCATCCAGCCCTCTATCTTGCTCGCCAGCTCCTCGTCCTGCCTCTCTCGCGCTGCCTCCGCCGCTGTTCGTCCCAGCGAGTCTCGCAGCTGCCCGAGCTCTCCGCCCCCGACCTCCAGCAGCCTCTCACAGACAGACCAGACGCCTCGCGCCGCCGCTACGTGCAGCGCCGAGCCATCAGACTCCGTGACACACTTGATAGACATGCAGTTCACCCAAGCACTATGACCTTGTAGACCACTATGAGCTCGTACACCTAACTCAAGACAAGCCTTCTGCGTCATGCTTCCAAGGTCCCACACCCTCAAGGTACTCATCCCACTCCCGCTGACAGCCGTCTTGCCGTCCTCGCTGATTGCCACGCTCGTCACCCAACCACTATGACCCTCAAGACAAGCCTTCTGCTTCATGCTCACAAGGTCCCACACCCTCATCGTCTCATCGTTACTCCCGCTGACAGCCGTCTTGCCGTCCCCGCTGATCGCCACGATCCCTACCGCTTTACTATGACCCTCAAGACGAGCCTTCTGCGTCATGCTCCCAAGGTCCCACACCCTCAGCGTCTTATCGTCACTCCCGCTGACAGCCGTCTTGCCGTCCTCGCTGATTGCCACGCTCCATGCGCACTCACTGTTATCTTCAAGACGAGCCTTCTGCGTCATGCTCCCAAGGTCCCACACACTCAAGGTTCTAGACCAGCTCCCGCTGACAGCCGTCTTGCCGTCCCCGCTGATTGACACGCTGTTGATCGGACCACCATCACCCTTAAGACAAGCCTTCTGCGTCATGCTCGCAAGGTCCCACACCCTCAACGTTTCATCGTCACTCCCGCTGACAGCCGTCTTGCCGTCCTCGCTGATCGCCACGCTCCATGGCGTACTCCTATGACCCTCAAGACAAGCCTTCTGCGTCATGCTCCCAAGGTCCCATACCCTCAGCGTCTCATCCCAGCTCCCGCTGACGGCCGTCTTGCCGTCCCTGCTGATCGCCACACTCGTCACCCAGTGATTATGACCCTCAAGACAAGCCTTCTCCTCCATGCTCCCAAGGTCCCACACCCTCAGCGTCTTATCCCAGCTGCCGCTGACTATGGTCGTGACTCTCGCTGGTCCTACTGGATGCTTCTGCTTCAGTCGCTCTGCTCCTGCACTCACGGCCAGCGCTCTCACTTGGACCTCATCTCCTCTCTCGATCGCTTCGATCAGCTGCAGCCGCTTCCTCTCGTCCTCCTCCATCCTTTTCCGCTCGTCGTCGGAGACCTGGCTCATCCTCCTCCTTGCTCGTCCCTCAGCCCCAGCACAAGAACCTCTTGTTCTCCTTCGCTCCTCTCGTCTCCTCTCTTTCTATCGCTTCTCTCTCCTTCTCTCTCCCTCACATCACCTGACCTCTCCCTTCCCTCTCCCTTCCCTTCTCTTTCCCTCCCCTCGATCCTCTCCTCTTCCTCTGCTTATCCTACCGAGCTCTGTCAGGACCCCTCCTTTCTCCCTCCCTCCCCCCCCCCACCCCACTCCCTTGCCCTCAACCCCCTGGATCTAGGGGGTGGTACGAGGAGGGGAGAGAAGGTAGGGGGCTGGGGGGTGTTCCAACTAATCCTACCAAAGAGGCTGGGGGGGAGGGAGGGGTGGAGGAGCAAGGGGCGGGAGGGGGTGGTGGGGTGGGATCGAGAGTTCAACCCTCTTTCTCATTGAGGGTCACGTTGTCCTCCCGGCTGCACTACAAGGGCCCGGGCCCGTGGAATGTCCCGGCCCGGGCCCCGGGCCCGGTCTCTCAGTGACGTTGCCACGGTCCTAGGGTCTTGAGCCTCCGAGGCTCCGGTGACTTGATTGACATGGGGCAGACAGCCAGGCGTCAGCCGGGAGACGGACAGGTGGAGGAGAAGCAGGAGAAGCTGACACAGTGAGAGATGGTACAGCTGGAGCTGAGAGGTGAAGGAGGCGAGAGAGGACCTCGAGGACATGAGGCTGCAACAAGATGAGGCACCAACAACCTGCAATGATCGGCGTAAGAAGGCATGCCGATGGGGGTAGGAGCTGGAAGGCTTGACAGAGCTCGGTCATGCGAGTACGCTTTCAATAAGGCATCAAACATGCTTCACAAAGTCCAGCTGCACATGCCACCGTAGCAACTTCCAGCTGCATGCCTGCTGTCCTCCACCATACAGCAGAGAGCATCCCCGGCCAGCCTCCCCCCACCAGCACCCCAGCACAAGCCCTGGCTACCTCTCGAGCTGCTGGGCACATGCCTCCGTCTCGCTCCTCGGCGGCCTGATCCCAGCAGCCTCTCGAGCTCGAGCAGGCCTTATGTCGGATTGTGAGTACCTTCCCAACCTAGAGCTTTAAGGGAAGGAGCCTGCTGGGAAACGAGAATGCGGCAAAAGGTTGGAGTTGTTAGTAAAGAGAGAAGCGGCAAGAGGAGGAGAAGGGGGAGGAGCAGGAGAAGTAGCGGGTGGAGAGGAAGAGAGGGAGGAGAGAAGGAGCGGGAGGAGCGGGAGAAGCAGGAGGATCGGGAGGAGGAGCTGCACCTTCCTCTCAGCGAGCTCTTCAATGTGCTCCGAGCAGGTCTCGTGAGGGAGACCATGAAGGCTGTATCGCACAAGTTCCATACACTCGCACGATCCTTCGGAAGGGGGTTGACAGACATTCTGTCTATATCCTTCAAGGTGATCAAGGGGCTCAACGCTTGTTGGAACATATCCTTGAGCAGCATGACGCAGAGGGATCGCAGGACTTGCATGTCTTTGATGCTGTTGCTGTTCAACCTAGTGACAACCTCCTCAATGTTGATCTTGCAAGTCACGACGTTCTGCATACTTGTTGCATGTCCTCAGGATGGTCACACGTTCTTGCAAACGAGGAGGGTCACTTCTCCTGGTATGCCGGGCTCTCATATGCCGCGGCTTGCAGCACTTCAAAGTAAGGAGGAACCGTTCGATCATGCACGTCAACGATCGACTGCTTCAGCAAGACTTGAGGGATCCTTTGCTAGTGGCGCGCTTATCCTGAGGTGGGGACGGGGGGGGATTCTATGTGAACGGGGGGGATTCCATAGTTCCGCGGATGACAACACCCCTATCGCCGTTGTCCACAACATGGTTGAGCACCAGCAAGACGATGCGCATGGGGTCAAGGACGGGAGGAGGAGGGGAGAGGAGGTGCAGGAGGGGAGGATTAGACTCGTATCATGTGAGAGAAGCTTGAGAAAGGTTGGCGCTTATCCTTCCTCGTTCGCTCCTCCCCTCGTCAGGTCTCGCCAGTGTCCCCGCAGACCCATCCTGTCATCTCCACGCGCCTCATCTTCGGGAGGCACGGGCCGGGGGTAGAGATAACTGTAAGGACAGAGGGGGGTGGTGGGGTCATGTCCGTGCGGGGGTGATGTAGGGCCGGAAGTTAACCAGACTCGATGGGGAGACAGGGGTGGGTGGTGGTCTTTAGGTCAGATGTCGATAGGGGTGGGGGTGGGGGTTCATTTGAGTGCCAGAGCAGGGGGAGATGTAGGCATCTGGCTGAGCCAGAAGTTCTTACAGACGCAAGAAGTTCAGGGCTAGCTTCCTTTCAGGTGGTGGAGCCAAGCGCGGCATAGGGCTTGGAGCTTAGGATGTGACTTACGAGATTGACGGACTGGGTGAGGGGGCGCTGGAGAAAAGGGTGTCGACGTGGAAGCGAGGGGACTCGGCATTGTGGAGACAGGAAGGAGAAAGGGAGCTGCTGGTGTTGGTTGCTGTGTCTGATCCTGAGAATGAACTGCTGGTGGTTGTGTTGGGAGTCTGGAGAGACTCATTGTGAAGTGCCGAAGCCGTGTGGTGTAGTCAGCCATCTCCGAAAGCCAACCATCTCCGAAAGCCAACCATCTCCGAAAGTCAACCATCTCCGAAAGTCCGGGTGTCCAGGGAGTGTCGTGAAGAGGAAGGTTGTTGGTTGCGTAGGAGATTGTTTTGTACAGATCTGTAAAAAGAATTCAAGGTGATTCCTTTAGTGTAGGGGTATAAGAAGCATTTCTATCGCTGAGACTTGTTGGCTCAGTCTCAATCTACTCGATACCTAAACTTGTAAGATACTCCTGAACTGACATGTCCCAAGCATAAGCAGCGCATGTCTTGCCGTCATTGTCTTTCTCCCTCAGCAGCCCCTCCCCGCACCTCTCCGCCAAGTACCGCATAACCTCCAAGTGCCCTCCAGCACTCGCCGAGTGCGCGCATGTCTGGCCATCAATTTTCTTCTCGCTCAGCAGCCCCTCCCCGCACCTCTCCGCCAAGTACCGCATAACCTCCAAGTGCCCTCCAGCACTCGCCAAGTGCGCGCATGTCCAGCCGCCAATTTTCTTCTCCCTCAGCAGCCCCTCCCCGCACGTCTCCGCCAAGTACCGCAAGACCTCCACATGCCCTGCCTTGCTCGCCGCATGCGCGCATGTCGTGCCGGCTTTGGTCTTCTCGCTAAGCAGCCCCTCCCCGCACCTCTCCGCCAAGTACCGCACGACCGCCAAGTGCCCTCCCTCACTAGCCAAGTGCGCGCATGTCTGGCCGCCCAAGTCCTTCTCGCTCAGCAGCCCCTCCCCGCACCTCTCCGCCAAGTACCGCAGCACCTCTAAGTGCCCTCCAGCACTCGCCAAGTGCGCGCATTTCTGACCGCCCAAGTCCTTCTCGCTCAGCGGCCCCTCCCCAAACCTCTCCGCCAAGTACCGCAGCACCTCCAAGTGCCCGCCCTCACTCGCCCAGTGCGCGCATGTCCTGCCATAATTGTCCTTCTGCCTCAGCAGCTCCTCCCCGCACCTCTCCGCCAAGTACCGCACTACCTCCACATGCCCTCTCACACTCGCCAAGTGCGCGCATGTCTGGCCGTCACTTTTCCACTCGCTCAGCAGCTCTACCCGACATTGCTCCTCAACAGCCTCCAGCACCTTCACATGCCCATACTCCGCCGCCCAGTGCATAAAGGTCCTGCCTCCCTCATCCTTCGTTCTTACATCTGCTCCTGCCTCGATTAGCTCCCTCACGCTTCCCGCCCTCCCCAGCATCCCCGCTACATGCAGCCCTGTCCTCCCGTCCTTCATCCGCTCGTCCATGTCGCATCCGCCCGCCTTCAGCAGCCCGATCAGCTCCCCCTGTCCTCGTACCACCGCCGTCACTGTCGGTGGCTCCCCGTCCCCGTCCAACCTTGAGATCGACAATGCATACATCCCACACAGCCTCTTGCTCAGCTCGGCTCCCTCCTCAGCATCGGCTACACTTCTCTTGTCCATCTTGTGCCGCAACCTCGCCATCGTCTTCCAGTACACTGACTGCATCGGCTCGTCCGCAATATCTCGACATTTAAGGTCTCCTTGTGTGTCTTCGATCCAGTGCCTGAGCTTGTTGATCGCCATCTCCTTCACGCGGTTCGACACCTCGATCGCCTCCTTGTAGTTTGACTCGTCGTTGTACCACTCCGCCTCCCTCCCCCTGCTCGCTCCACCAGCCCCCAGCACTCCTCACGATCGATTGTACAGACCCTGATGATACTTGTACGATGAGTCCCATGGCGCTGT